TCCTCCTCCTCCTCCTCCTCCTCAGTCTATCCAGACGGTCGGGTGTGTATCTCCATCCTCCACGCTCCTGGAGACGACCCCATGGGTTATGAGAGCAGTGCAGAGAGGTGGAGTCCAGTCCAGAGTGTGGAGAAGATCCTGCTGTCTGTGGTCAGCATGTTGGCAGGTACACAACACACACACAACACATCACAAAACACAACACAGTGCTCCAGGTCAGGCAGTGGAAACATTCAGAGGTTTGTAACTTCTTCTCTCCTCTCTCCTCCTCCTCTCCTCCTCCTCCTCCTCTCTCCTCCTCCTCTCCTCCTCTCCTCTCCTCCTGTCAGAGCCTAACGATGAGAGTGGAGCTAACGTCGATGCTTCTAAAATGTGGCGTGAGGACAGAGAGCAGTTCTACAGACTGGCTCAGAAGATCGTTCGCAAGTCTCTGGGCCTGTAGAGATGATGTCATCACGCCGCTCTGTGTGTGTGTGTGTGTGTGTGTGAGTGTGTGTGTGTGCGTGCACACACTGCTGGGAGGAGGACTGTCCTTGATACCACAGACACACAGAGCTGCAGACGGACAGATCAATGAACTGATGGATCGAAGACCAGAAACTGATCAGAGGAGTTTCACTGAACACGACCTCACTTCCTGTTTCCTGTGTTCACCCCACCTCAGCAGTTATTTGTGTGTCTGTCTGGTTGTGTGTCTGGTTGCCTGCTGCTCGTGTCTCCCTGACCTGGGCTCATCAGATTGAAGTTTCTGGGTGAACTTTGTGCACTTTATCTCTTCCTGATGTTAGGATGAGCTGACGGAGGTCTTCAGAGAGGAACAGAAGGAGCTGCTTGTTTCTGTTCCTCATGTCAAACTGATTGTAAATCCATGTCCACCAGTTTATTAAAAAACCTCAAACATTTCATTTGTGTCTAAGTTTATATAAGAAGATGGTCCAGCTGATCATTACTGGAGCAGGTTCTAGCTCCTGGTTCCAGGGTAAGAAGGTCCTGTCAGAACCTGCACCTCTCCTGATCCTCAGCTCTTTTCTTCTAATATAGCTGTTCACCAGAAAACCTCTTCATTTAACGTTTTCAAATGAAGTATTAAGAACATCTGTAGGACTGTGGATGTTCTGAGCTCCTGGTATTTCTCAGGACCATCAGAGTCCTTTCTTCTGATTGATCCGAAGAGAATAATTTAGTAAATAAACTCTGAAAATACAATGTTTACTTCAGGACACAGGACTCTGGAGGTCTCTGGGTTCAGGTCACAGGACTCTAAAGGTCTCTGAGTTCAGGTCACAGGACTCTGGAGGTCTCTGGGTTCAGGTCACAGGACTCTGGAGGTCTCCGGGTTCAGGTCACAGGACTCTGGAGGTCTCCGGGTTCAGGTCACAGGACTCCGGAGGTCTCTGCGTTCAGGTCACAGGACTCCGGAGGTCTCTGGGTTCAGGTCACAGGACTCCGGAGTCTCTGCGTTCAGGTCACAGGACTCTGGAGTTCTCTGGGTTTAGGTCACAGGACCCCGGATGTCTCCAGGTTCAGGTCACAGGACTCCGGAGTTCTCTGGGTTCAGGTCACAGGACTTTGGAGTTCTCTGGGTTCAGGTCACAGGACATTGGAAGTCTCTGGGTTCAGGTCACAGGACTCTGGAGGTCTCTGGGTTCAGGTCACAGGACTCCGGAGGTCTCAGGGTTCAGGTCACAGGACTCTGGAGGTCTCTGGGTTCAGGTCACAGGACTCTGGAGGTCTCTGGGTTCAGGTCACAGGACTCTGGAGGTCTCTGGGTTTAGGTCACAGGACCCCGGATGTCTCCGGGT